GATTTGAGAATTTAATTCTCATCGGGTGCAGTTGATAGGAAACATCAGATTCATGCATGATTTGTGTTCTACCACGGTTACCGTGGTTCTACAGACTATAAACAAAAAGGCTTAGACCTCATATAGGTTTCACACCACAATTACAATTTGTACCAAGGCACAGGGTCAGGTACACATACATGAACGTCATCCCCTCTATTTTGAAAACAAGCTTTTGAAAGGAATGGCATTGCTTGTGTTATAGCAAAAACCAGCTGCTTTTTAAATAGCAGACATATATTATATTTAAAGTGAGTCGTCAGCTAGATTAACTTTTCTAATACTGCCAATACCAGTGTAGTTGAATCGTCTTCATTTTTTTGGGAATTTCAACCCCTGTGAGTATGCTGTTTTCTATTGAATTTCAAAACTAGACAAATCACTCTTTTCAATTTTGTAAAATTTTGTATACATGATTCATTGGTTCAATGTGTAAAATACTGTAGAATACTTTATTTTCGCTTAGAATTTATTTTCGCTATTTTCGCTGAAGGGATGATTTCGTGAAAATAAAATCCAGCGAATATACTTTTTTCCCTATATTTCACATTAAACTCATCAAAAATCAGTGAAAATAAGTTCCATACAAAACGCCCAAAAAGCCTTTTCAGCAAAAATTAATTCCAGCGAAAATAAAGTATTCCACAGTAGTCCTGCTTTACAAGTTTTTACACTTTGATCTATGGGGAGTTTATATGTAGTATGAAACATACCCACTGCAAGTCAGTTATACTTTAACAATGTGCTTGCAAACCTAAACAAGAAGAGATATTCCAGCTACTCACGCTCACAAATCTACAACTCATTGAAACACAAATACCATAATTTTGTGAATCCAAAATTGATCTATGACAAGATTTTCAATCCCACTTGAGGCCTTGTTCACCAAAACAAGGACCCTTTACATGGTAATTTTAACTCATCTGATTGGTTAAAATACTGTCACATGGCAATTTTAACTCATCTGTTGAGTTAAAATACTGTCACATGGCAATTTCAACTCATCTGATTGGTTAAAATACTGTCACATGGCAATTTTAACTCATCTGATTGGTTAAAATGCTGTCACATGGTAATTTTAACTCATCTGATTGGTTAAAATACTGTCAGATGGCAATTTTAACTCATCTGATTGGTTAAAATACTGTTACATGGCAATTTTAACTCATCTGTTGAGTTAAAATACTGTCACATGGCAATTTCAACTCATCTGATTGGTTAAAATACTGTCACATGGCAATTTTAACTCATCTGATTGGTTAAAATACTGTCACATGGTAATTTCAACTCATCTGATTGGTTAAAATACTGTCACATGGTAATTTTAACTCATCTGTTGAGTTAAAATACTGTCACATGGTAATTTCAACTCATCTGATTGGTTAAAATCCTGTCACATGGTAATTTTAACTCATCTGATTGGTTAAAATCCTGTCACATGGTAATTTTAACTCATCTGATTGGTTAAAATACTGTCACATGGCAATTGTAACTCATCTGATTGGTTAAAATACTGTCGCTTGGCAATTTTAACTCATCTGTTGAGTTAAAATACTGTCACATGGCAATTTCAACTCATCTGATTGGTTAAAATCCTGTCACATGGTAATTTAACTCATTTGATTGGTTAAAATACTGTCACATGGCAATTAAGCCTAATCAATAGTTTGCCAAATAAACATTTTTACACAAATACAGATCAGCTTTTTTACTCCATTACAACTGGACTTACCTGGATGTTTTTTTAGATAGACCTCTACTAAGTTATTTACAATATGATTACGACTCAGCCTCATTACCCTGTTACGACACTGCACAGTGAAAACAGTAAATCAACAATGATCAATGACCACAAGGTGCTAAACATAAAGTATTGAATGTAGAGAAATTGATGATCATTATTATATCTGATTGGTTAAAATACAGTCACATGGTAATTTGAAATGATTAGATTGGTTAGAAAACAGTCACATGGTAATTTTAATAATAATAATAATAATAATAAACATAGTTGAACTCTGGTGACCTTGCCCTTTGTTATATAATATAATTCCCTTTAACATATTTTGTTTCAATATAAATATGCATTGTCATAATTAATTTTGAGTACAAACAAGTTTTGGGGTTGAACCAACAGTGGGGAATCAGTCTACCGAATGTCCTTTAAAGAT